TCATGATCAATAATGTATGTACATGCTTATACAATCTGAATCTTATACATGCAAAAGATTTCCGGAGTCATGTATGTAGTGGCTTATTCCGTGAGTATTTACTGAGATGCACACCCAAGCCCAAGTCAAGCCAAGCAGTAGCCGCCCTTCGGCGGAATTGGTTGGCATCCAACTCTACCCGAGCCATTTCCTGGTTTCTTACGCCACGTGATCGGTGTGAGGGTTGAGTTCTGACACAAAAAGCTTGATCCAAAGGGTGGATTGCATTCTTCCCCAAGCATACCCAAACCTCGATCATGAAGGCAATGCTGGCCAACATGTCATAATCTTCTCCTGGTTTTCAACCCCCTCGTTGGAGATTAAACACTTTTTGCACAGCATCGGCAGTGTCGCCATTCGACTTTCAAAAACTGCAAATCTTAGGGTCACTAGTCTGGCTGCTTCAATAGGAAGCTGCTTCAGCTTGTGTTGGCGCCAATAAGATCACAATTGAACCCAGGGATCTCTTTGCAAGGGAGGCCACAGAATTATATAGAGTAGCGGGTAACACTTTAGGATTTCCAGGGAAACAATCAGGAATTGGCTTGTTTTTGTTTAGCCTGCAATAATCTGGTTCAAGGCTTGACATGTAGTCAAATCTAAGAACGATCTGGGAAAACCACGGGAAAAAGTTGGGAAAGATATGGGAAAACAAAGGGACAAAAACTGGGAAGAAAACTGGGGGACGGGGGGGCAAAACTGGGAATGATCTGGGAAAACCATGGGAAAATGCTGGGAAAACTGTGTGGGCACAGGGTGCAAGACTGGGAATGATCTGGGAAAGATGTGGGAACCACCTGGGAAGGATCCAGGAGTGATGTGGGAATATTTCGGGAAAACAATGGGAACAAGTTGGGACAGGTATGGGAATGGCTGGAGGAAGGTAAGAGCACCTGTTAAACAAGCAAAGGCCAGGTCTATATAAATGTTTTGCCATGGGATTGCATGTCATATTTTGACCATGTAGGCACCATCGGGGATTTTCATGGGATTTGAAAGGGAAGAACCTGGGACACAGCTTGGATTTTGAAAGGATTTTTTTGGGAAACAGGTAAACTGAGTAAAACTGAGTACTGTGTCAATTTGGCCTCATTTGAAGCAAGCAGTCCCTCATCAGAGCAGCCGTCGTCGTCGTTACGGCTTTCCATGGTTAGCTGCAACTCAGTACGAGTATCTCTCAGCTGGTAATCCCAAGACAAATATGTTCAAGCTGAATTAGAACCTATATTTGGTAAAATATGGTATACAGATTATCAGATAAACAAAGGCTTCTTGGTCTGTGAATGAGGCCTTCAGTACCCAAAACAATCTAAACATATATTCATATATTCATAAATAATCATACAAATGCTCCGCGTCCAGTATATGTTGGAGCAAATTACCTGACATAATCCAAATGTACATATCATCATGACACGAATCACATGATCATGTGAAGGTTTATGAATCATCAACCTATCAAGCTCGCAAACAGCCAAACAATCATCGTCTTCCAGGATAACCAAGACAAGGAAAATGATGGCAAAGTCAATACTTTGCCTGAATGAACAGCTGGCAGTTTCTTGAGGTCAGCTCAAATTGAATATATGTACCTTGACCTTGAACTCTTGAACCAATCGACCTTTCACAGAAAATTGCAGGGAACATTAACCTTGAAAACCTCAACAGTTCCTGTTGTCCAACGAACGTATGTGCAATTTGGGTGTTGCTGTAGGCAAACCCAGTCAGGTCTGGGTCAAACTTTCTCGGAAACCATCCCGTTTTGGGGGTTCCCAGTTTTGACCCTTTCCTGTCGATCAGAAAATGTTGCAATATGCTACAATTATCTACAATTCAAATTGTGGGCCTTCCGGAATTCTGATTTGGGTTTGGCGGTCTTTTGTTTCCAGTGTTTTTGGGCTAACCTCAGGCAATTCGAAATAGCCGGATTCACCCCCTGATGCAGTTTTGATGAACGGCTGAAGTATATAACATGGCACCACCTGAACTAGGTAATGGCTAATAGACTGTGGTTTCAAAAGACCCAAACATATCCATTATATATAATAAATGTGTTGTTTTTTGTTTTCTGGGGTAACACCCGTCATTTTTTGAGAGGCTCAAAATTAGCGAGTCTGCATCCCAGAACGGTTAAAACACATCTTGATATGTGAGCAGCGCTTAAACTTCTTGCAGAGGTTGAAACTGCCAGCACCGCTTCAGCCTCTCCGACTGAGACTGGTGTCTGCACGTGTTTTTTTGCACAAAAAAACAGGCGCAAGCTGGACGGCCAGAAAATACGTCACACATGCATTGCGTATGAACAAGACAATGTCAAATGGGGATTTAATCAATCCCACCATCCTTATAGATCCTTATACATCCTTATACACTATCCCAGTTGCTTCGAAACCCTCCAGTGAATGTTCAGTCGTTCAGTTATATAGTCAATTTATTGTTGATATTTGACCAGGGCACTGCTGCCAACGTTCAAGCGCCATGCTCATTGCATGCCTATTCCATCCTATTCCTTTGTTATCATTGAGTCATCATGGGACTACTATATAGTTGATATGATGTTGATATGATATGAACATAACTATACAACATAACATGGAACGATGTTTATATGGACCTGGTCAAGAAGGGATACCCCAGGGAAGTGCATGCTGAAGGCCTGATCATAGCCGGTTTAGAACCCTCCAAAACTGGGATATCCACTGGGATAAGAGTGAAATTATTGTGAAATCATACACTCCAGTTATCATTTACTCACCTCTGCTAGCACTTTGGCATGATCTTGCCGCAGGCTTCCCTCTATACCCGTCTCCACCATGTGGCGTAACATGATTCTGACAGGTCACCGGAAATCAGGTGAATTTGGGAGTCGCAAGATGGCTGATTTGTGGCACCCAAGATATGCGGAGACAGCCCGTGGAATCAAGTGGTGACAGCAGGGAATTTTGTGGCCTCCGTCACCAGCTTTTTGCTGAGCCCTTGGAAACATGGAAACACATCACACAACACCAACCTTCAAAGCCAATCTACACCAACGAGTTCAGAATTACTTCTGATTTCCCAATCCTCGTGGACAGCCAAGGTATTGTGACCATCATGTAATTAGATGTCCACAATGTTTGACGATGTAAGGCACGGTAATTTAGTAATAGACATCTAGAAATGAGATACACATACAAACACAAAACAGACAAACAACAAACGAGCAAGCGGGAAGGCAAACAGGCAGAAAGGGGAAGAGACCGAACGATAGAGAGAGAGAGAGATGGATGGATGGGACGGAGCCAGATGTATGGACAAGGTAGAGATAGAGATAGGTGCATACGTGAATAGGTGGATAAATACCATTATCGAGGTCATTATTTCTTTTTGCACATGTCCATCTATTCTGTGTGGCCGTTCAGCCGAAATCACATTCAGATCATTCAGCTGAAATCACACCTTCAAAACGGGTGCAAAACGGATCCATACCGATTCTATCGGTTTGGGTGATGAGCCAGGGCAAATACCATGGCATACCCTCGTGCTGGCTTCAACCTCAAAAGCACATTCGAATGGCATTGGCAAAAAACATCCACAGTCTACTAAAATTCTGAGACAACTAAAGCGCGATGCGGAGAAGCAACAGATACCATAGCTACTTACCTCCGATCGTTACACGATCCATATCGATCCATCATCGCCATGATTTTCATCCGTTGAAACCAGCGACCACCCGGGTCTGAGGCCGCTCCGGGTCTTTAAGGCTCTGCTGACGATATAAAAACTGAATGGTAGTACAAGATAGTACAAGTATAATCACGGCCAACCCAAGATAACCATGACTAACCACGGTTACTTAGATGGCCTGCAGTATTTATTGTCCTTTGTGCCAAGAACAAAGGAGATCTGACATGACCAGGGTCGCGGGACTTTGGACAAGTCTGGCCATGTTTCGATGATTTGTATGTCTTCTGTTTTACCTGCTTCCACGCGACCCAAAACATCGGAACGCACGAATCGATCGGGCGCACCTTCTACTCCGTTGCGGAGGCCGTGCTCTGAATCAGTAGCGACAGCAAACAGAAGTTGGGATGAAGTTACTTCCAGATCAGTGGAACTTCATGAACTTTGCAACAAACTGGTCATGAAGCCAATTGTTTTGCTTTAAACAAATTGTAATTCGGGCATTTTGCAGCCAAAACACATTTGGTTTTATGGCTTTACTGCCATCAGTTCAGTCTTCCATCTGCAAACTCGGCTCTTCGTTCAGCAGTCACCTTGACTCTCCAAGTCAAAGTGAGACAATCAGATTTTGACCTCTTTGAAGAGCTGCCTCGGATTCGCCGGCAAGCCTTCCCATGGCAATATCGACTGTCCTGGATGATATTCTTCCATTGCGGGGTGATTGATGCCATCTGTGTTGTAACGTTGTATATATCTGTAAGGGTGACGATTTTCCTCAGGGTAATTTTTTGTTCAAAGCAACCGTTGTCAGCTCTGGACACCTTCCTGTCGACTTCTCGACCAACCCAGTTGTGCATCTGATTTACCACCGTGTCCGCAATTCACGGTTTATAAAAGGACTTATCCCTCTACTGCGCTTTGTATGGAAAACAACACCCAAACACTCTTGAAAGAGAGTAGCCCATGAAACACTCACTGACTTGTGAAATATTGTGAAATTGTTGCATCAGTACTCAATCAAGGACATTCCTGAGTTCTTTTGCAAATCCCAAGACTTCTCACCACAGTTTTCTATCGTAGCTGGCACCTCTTAAAAAGGACACCACAGTTGCCAAGAAAAAACGAAGCAAAAATCAACACATATAAAAGGATATAAAAGGGAAGCAGGACAAGTAGGAATGAGGGGGCAAAGCCCAAAGCACAACAAGAATGAAAGAAAACCCGGTCCAATATCAACAATTTCTGAGACGCAAAGATCCTTTCCATCCCCCTTGAATTCCATAGGAAAAATGGAGAGGATTCCCAGGTCCCGACATCGGCATCGGCATCGGTTCCAGTGACATGTTCCTCCCTCTGTGAGCTGCCAAAGCCACTGGCCTGAGCTCAGTGCCGTGGGTTGAAAATGAGATTTCACCAACAGATGGGATGGGATGTCGAGGGACAATGGGTTATTATGGTATATATATATGTATATATTATGGTATATATTTTGGAATGTTTTGGGATGTTTGCGGTTCTTGACATATCCAACAATCCAATGAGATTTCAGAAGAAACAGTAATGTGATGCGAGTGATGTTTCAGCTTCAGGCATGGTGTTCACGCATAAAAACACAAATATGTTATGAGATTCACAAACCAGATACTGTAAATCCACCAAAAATGGAGTACCTGTTCAGAAAGGCACCTATTTTGCTCGCGATCACAAGGCGTGTTTCCAAAACCTACCAAATGATTTGGGAGATGGGCATTCTGCCGAGAGATAGTCAATGGGCAGCAACAACAATAGGGGAAATAAAATGAATGAGTGCATGACACATACATACATAACATAACACAAGGTTACGTTACGTTACGTTACGTTGCATTACGTTGCGTTGCATCGCATATATTCCGGATTGCATTACATTCCATACATACACATAATATATACATATGTATGTATATGCAAAGGTACCCCCCAAGACCAACCAATTTAGCAAATTGTGCAGTATTTCAAGTGCTCTTTTCACATATTTCTTACTTCAAACTTAGGGCATGTGTTTGGGTTCAAAAACATGTTTTTTTCTATTTGCTGCAACCCCACCCTTCAAATGCTACATCGGATTCAAGATTCAAGATCCGGAAAAAACTTCCTGAATCCAAGAGGGCTGGACAAGATTTAAAAATCCAGGAAAAAAATCTAGAATCCAAGGGGACTTCAGCCTTGAACCTTGAATCTTGAATCCAGGGCGGCTGGATCCAGGAAGTTTTTTCTGAGCCTTGAAACTTGAATATTGAATCCTGAATCCAACAAGGCTAGATTTTTTTTTCTGAGTTTTGAGTCTTGCGTGTCTGCGGATATGTGTTTGTCTGAAAATAAGGTACCCCATTCCCAGAGGTCAGTTGATGTTGGTTGATGTTGGTTTGATTCATGGTGTTATACCCCCGATAATTTCCAATATTGGTTATGTATAACACCATTAATCAAACCAAACCATATTAATGGTGTTATACATATCCAATCAAAAACCCCCGATAAACTTCCAATGGATCCCATGGATTCCCATGGATCCCGCCTGCGTTGACCCTGAAGTGACACAGGTCTCCAAGGAAGCCGAACTCTTCGAGCCGCAGCACAGTTCTGGCATTCCGCATCCAGGGAGAAACCCAGGGGATGATGGTGCTGGTTGGTGGTTGCTGGTTTTTATGCCATCTTGATTTTATGGGAATGATTTAGTTCCAAGTGAATTCACACTACTACTACATGCGCATGAAAAACTCAGGAACAATTATGAACAAGTACATAAACCCCCTGAAAATCATTTGTGACTCATTTTGTAGCCATGATAAGAGTGAAAACCCAGCCATTAACCCAGTGGAAGCATGAATCGTTGGCATTGCATTGTGTATATATGAAATATATATATATGTATATTGAAATATGGAAACCAATTAAGATTTAAAAAGTAAACCACCATCAAATAAACACATGTAACATATGTCATATGTCGAAGGAAACAATAACGGTTCCAAAGGTATAGTTATGATAAATGGTTCTATGGGGTATTCCTACTCACTGATGATCCCAATGACGATGTGGTTATCGTATGTGTTCTAATATAACAATAAAATGATAAATACATGCATTGTTAAAAACACATATATATATATATACACATACATAATCTTACGATTACTGAAAAAAAACAATGGAGTAGACTGTTGTGATCAAACACATGAAAACATAATAACCAAAATCACGTGATTATGAAGGGAATGAATTATATATCAGTATGGAACCCTATGCTATAGACGGCTCGAGGGTATGTATAATATAAGACCAACTTAGGGGGATGATATTGCCATGAGTCATGTGAGGTTAGGTCACAAACCATGGTGTTTGCACATCAATCATAGCCCGTTATCGTGCTCCAAGGTGCTGTATGTCCAAACCTATATTGCTGGGTCTTGTGTTGTGGCGCTTGGCCAGGACCTAGCGGTAAAGAATCTTACAGGCCAGTCTGACGTCTGACTCCACTCAGTTTCTGACATACATTGACATACCATCTGGAAGTATATGTAGCATATATATATAATATTCAAATGTATATATTCTGACATTCTATCTGACATTCTTCTTGGCATATACTCTGACAAGTCTGACATTCATTCTGGTATTCTATCTGGCATCTATTCTGACATTATATCTGGCATTCTCTTTGGCATGAGTTCGGGTTCAGGCGCACTCCACAACATCCTGGAGTTACATTTGTTAAGATCTAGAGACCCTCACCTGGCAGGTGGGAAAATACCAAGGGTAGCCCTAAGCCATTAGGGGCACCGCATCACTGCCAGTGTGTTTATACAAGACTACTAAGGATCTAAGGCACAATTTCCGAATCACAATGGCTTGGACGTAAACCCATTAAGGATTTTCACAATATTGAAAGGGATAGAAGAGGATATTGTTTATAATTTATTATCTTAATCATTTTCTTGGTGGGCTTGCGGCCAAGCAAATACGAATTGCGAAATCGTGCTTAATGGCATTGTGTGCAAATTCTTGGTAGTTTTGCGGTAAAGCCAATACGACATGGGAAACCATGCTTAGTAGCTTTGCATATGTTCTTAGCAGTTGTACGGCCATGCCATGTACTTGTTGGCACTTTGCTTTATTGTTTTGGGACAGAAACACAGCATTATTGTTTCCGTGCCAAAGGGCTTTCTGAAGTCATGCTTGGTACAGCTTTTATAGTCTTGAGCCCATCAGAGCCGTGCCTCCGACTGTACAAATGTCGTTGCACCGCTTGTGACTGTCAAGGTTCAACCTACCATGCTTGCTACAGAACAGTACGGGCATCCTTGCAGCTTTTGAAACTTATGTGGTTCCTTTGGTTTTGCACTGCGACACGGGCCCGTTTTTAGGGCTGTGGGCCTGCATGCATTTTGCCTTCCTGCTCTGTACCCTCTATGTATCGAATAATTAGATTGTTTCTCACAGGATATTCATATAATATGTTGGGGAAGGGATATTATGATTGTTGCAATGTCATCCACTCGGCGGTTCCTTTGGTGACCATTTCGGCGCTGTCAAGTGGCCATTTAGAGGCTTGGATTGGGGGGCCATTTCTTGAGGAATATCACTTGTGGCCGTTGTGGCCACATGGCAATGGCTCAAATGTCCTCTACAAAAAACTCGACCACTTAGCAGTGAAATGCTTCCACCAACGCCTTCCCCAAATGGGTTTAAGGACCCGTCAAACATTGTAGCACATGGCAGCACTATGGTCTCTCACAACAAGCCGAGGATCTCATCTCTTGGAGCATCTCTTTTTGTCGACAAAGTCGCATCAACAGCTCAAACTTTTCGGGATCGTCATCCACAGCCAGAAGAAACTCATGGACTTGAAGCCGCGCATACCCGTGACCTCAAAGGCCGAGGTGACTTTTCAACACATTAAACACCATGGCATGATACCTCTCCAGGGTCTTCAGGTGGTTCAGCCGTCCCCAACACAAGACCAATCAGTTTTGCTTCATGATGCCAGGTAGGCAGGTAGGACCAGAAAAGCAATATAGTTGAAATCAAAGAAAATTATGTTTGGCCTCTCAAGCACCGACTCCGCAAAACAAACGGACAAACAGTATCAAAATAGGCTTCCTCCAGCGACATGGAAAATCATCATGTTCCAAGGCGAATTCATCCATTGGTCCATGGATATCCACCCAGTAGCATGGCTATGTTCCAGCAAGCTAGGCTCCACTGCCAAAGGGTCAAGTGTTTGCTAAACAGCCCAGGGACGACACAGAGTTTCATCATCCGTGTTGCCCAGCAAGTTCGAGATTCTTTTCCTCAGTCGGCAGTCAAACTCAAATTCGCCTGATTCGGTGTTTCGGGCTTTTTGATCTTTTGTTCAAGAAAAGGATGGGGCCAAGGTGATTGTTTGGTCTTTCACTTGTGTTGGTGCTTTGTTGTGTTGCTGTGCTTTATTGTAGTACTGTCTTGTTGTTTTCTTGTCTTGTTGTTTTGCTGGCTTGTTGCATTGTTGTCTTGTTGTCTAAATGTCTGCCTGTCTGCCTGCCTGCCTGCCTGCCTGTCTGTCTCTCTGTCTGCCTATCCATCCATCGATTTGTCTGTTGCTGTGTATATGCATTTATGAGACTTTATATGATACAGTATAACGTAAGGTGACTCAACGCAGCAGGATGTAATGTAAAGTCATGATATGTAGTGATACTTCATGTTATGTTAAGTTATGTTCTGTAGATAGTTGATGCTGAAAAATTGAAGAGATTATCTATAATGTTGGCTAGATCGAGGTTCCAATTGAGGCTAGTCTTGACCATGACCACCCTGGAGTCAAGAAAGTTCTATTGTCCTCCTGGGATAACAATAGATGTCTCATGATTTCTCCATAAAAACGGCTTAAAATGATGAAAATGAACTTATTCAGGTCCTAGCAGGTCCCACCTCCGACCATTCACCAGTTTCACCAGCCAGCGAGAATCCGATCCGACACCATGAAGGTGACCTCACGCTCATGGCGAAGTCACGAAGTCCAGATCTGCGAAGAAACTCTTAAGGTTAGCATAGGTTAGCCTGTTATTTACCGTACACCTATGTAGTATAATATTGTATTTTTTGACTCAGAATTCATGAGATAGAAAGAAATAAATTTGAGGGTCTCCGACAAGTCGGGTCCTATATATATATATAACTATGTATATTATTATTATTGTTATTATTATTATTGTTTTTATTACTATTGTTGTTGTTATTATTATTATTAGTATTATTATTATATATATATGCTATATATATATATACACACTTATGAAAAACATAAAAACATGCATCGACTATTCAACCAAGGTCTGGATGGCAACTGGTAACGAGGTCTTCGATGAGGTCGCCAGAAACCATCCAGGGAACAATGAAATCTGGCTGTTGATCCAAACAAAACATCAAAGCTAGGGATGTTCGATACCAAGAGGGATTTTCTCAGTTTCTATCCCAATACACAGTTGTCCACTCCAAGTTGCAAGTGGGGAAGCAACGGCTCGTTCGCTATCACTGCAAGCCATCACAAATCGGACGATTTTGGTCTTGTCTGTGGGGAGCCTGTACGGCTGCAGTAGCCAAGCAAAACACCGGGTGGCTTCAACCGGCTGCAAAACGATTTGCCCATTCTGGGCATCCCATTAGGCTTACAGACAGTATAGCAACACATCTGGCGTCGATTTGGGAATGTTTGAAACTGGAGCTGATCGTTGAAGGGTTGTGGTGCCACTGGCTTTGAAAAATCGAAATTCTCTCCACGTTGGTTGGATATCATGTCATATCATGTGTTGAAAGTGCTCAGTGGGAGGGAATACTGACAAATCAGGACGCAACATTGATGCAGAATACACATGATCTGGGCTTTGTACTGCACTCTTTGTGAGCCTCAGAAGCACTACGTAACAGACGTAACGCTTTCAGGATTATCTCCTCCACGTTACCAAATTTGCTCATCCGCTGGTGCGACAGCCGTGCCAAGACAATGAACATAAATGAACACAAACATGCACACTGTTGGAGTCAAATGTTTGTCTGTCCCAATGCTTGATCTGATGGCAGCCGTGACACCTGAAATCTGAAACGGTGACTCTCCATTGGTTCAATTGGTTCAATGGCAGCCCTTGGAAAGCTTAAATAAATTGCAGAAGCACGGCTTAAATCACTGGGCTCTTCTAGACACTTTCATGGAGTCTTTAAGTCATGGATCAAATGAAAGTCCCCCTTGGAAGGTACCCCTATCGGACATCAGCAAATGCCTGATATAATCAATGTGTGTCACTGTGTCTGATACAATCACTGTGTATACAATCACTGTGTACCCAATCACCCATGGCATCCTGATATTCCTGATCTTATTGCGAATAGCATATCTTCAAAAGGGTGCTCCTCATTATTCCATGATTGATTCCCAAAGTTGATGTATCACTGAAAGGAAAAACTGACAGGAAATCCTTGTATTTGTTGAGTGAATGATTTACCTCAAATTAAGCCAGTGAGTGTTTGCTCTAAATCCAATCTCCGAAAGCGGATTTTCAGCAGCAAAACACCGCACATGGGACCTAAGTTTCCACTAAATATCCTTTCAAATGGATGGTTTACTCAAAAACAACAACAATTTGGATGAATTTGGTGGTTCCCTGGGTCGTCTTCGAGCCAAATCCCAGGTGGCGCCTAACGAGCCGCCCGAACTCGTCACGGAGTTTATCGGTTTCTTATACTGCTATAGTACTACAGACCACATGCACACATTACACATGTTTACAGATTAAATCTACATATTACATCATATTACCTCTGTATACAGATTACATTTACACAGGATTTCGTACATGCACATATTGTAATTGTACATAAATCAATATACGTATATATCGAAACAAATCACATCTATACAAAGATCACATCTGTACGCAGATTGCTTCTAGGTACAGGTTACATATACATTGTACATACAGACTACATCTATGTATGTATAGATCACATCTATGTACAAATTGCAAGTATACAAATTGCACAACATCTATTTACAGCTTTCGCCCACATACAGACTATGTAATCTGTATGCAGATTGCATTTGTGTGCATATAAGAGCTATGTAGATATCACAGCTTTAATACAAATCAATTTACAGATTGCATCTATTTGCAGGCTACATTAGTCTAGATACAGGCAAAGATTATATACAGTTGTATACATCAGATTACGACTTCCTTTGAACATCTCTTACATGTCTCTTCAATTCCAAAGGTGACTAGTGACCAGCTCCCATTTCACGAGACCTTAAAAAATGTGTCCAGAAGTCCCCCAGCCCGTGGTATCTACGCTTCTTTTGCTGAACCTCTTAGGGCAGCGTAGGATGATGAGGAGACTGATTAACATGGGTTCATAACATGCTGTTATAGGGCTGTAAAGCTGTAAATGTACACAAACGCTGCTTGGACAAATTACACTGGCCTTCCAATATGTATATGTATACATATATATATATATATGTCGAGTTTACAAGCAAGAACTTTCAAGGCGCTAGTCTTGGCTACTGTTGTAATTCTTGATACCTGGTGGATATGGAAAGAAAACTGGATACCTTGGCCATGGTATTTGACCCAATAAAGGGTATTGTACAAGCAGCAGGCCTTTTAAAATCATGAAAACTGCTGAGTGCTTGGTTCATGAAGCTGTTTCACCATTGTCCGTATTTGTCATGGACATTGCCTTCCTCAACCAGTCTTCCTCGTTGAGAAACATCCACTTGAAAGCGCCCAAAGTGATCACGAAACATGGTCACAGGTGGGCAGCTAAACCTCTGCAAACTTAGCTGCATTCAGGAATTGTAATTCAAAGTGGCAAAATTGATCAATATTGTTTTGATTGATGGTTGCGAGCCATTCGAACCATTCCAAAAGTATCACTCATTTGTTGGGATCATCACACCATGACCTCTCGGAAACTATTCTTGGCAAAAAAATGAATCCAACGGAACAAAGCACCATGTTTAAAACCATCAATCCATGGTTTCATGCTCTTGAGAAATCAGAGATGGCTCTGTGTCCTGCCTTTCAGACTTGGGCGGACAGTCAAGAATTGGAAGATTAAAGTGGGACAGTTGAGCCAAGCGCCAGTTTATGATTTGGTTGACAGCTGCAGAATTCAGACAGGTTAAAGATCGCCTGTCGCCTGGGGGAAAAAAACCAGAAGCTTGGCAAGCACATATAGAAATACTGAGCAAAGTGGCATGTTGCTATCGCAACCAATCCAGTCTAATCCCAGCGCCGCAGCATTGAAATACACCCGATGTGGGCCCAACGAACAAATCCAATATTAATCCCGGATTTTTAGCGTGGCATTTAATATCATGGGATATCATGGTATAATCCCAAGCCTACTCCGTTGAGACTGGGTATATCTGGGTACCCAACCACCAGTGGATTCTGGATCAACTGGGCATATCTTTCTCAAAAAACTGGGAGCCCCAGCACAAAAATCGCTGAAATCATATCTCAAATGCTCCATGTAGAGCATATTTTGTATGTTGTAGAGATTACCCCCAATTGTAGGCAACTATGTTTGATGCCACTTTCAACTTTCACCCCCGGGGCCATGGCCTAGCTCTTGACTTTACGGCTGTATGAGACTATGATCCCCAAATTTGAGGCCTTGATATCTTGATATATCTTGGCTTCTCAGCTCGACTGAAAAATTGACCATTTCCAGGAAAGCACAGGAATGATCCACCCATGTTCCGGGCTACATGGGAGCCACTGCGGCTTTGGCTTTCTAGAAGCCTTCAACACGGGCCAGGATGGAATCTCCTAGGGCTGGGTACCACCTGATGATGGCCATGATCCCTGGAGCTTGAAAGATGGACCAAAACTGTAGGTCAGGGGAACCGGATCACGACAAAAAGAAACACAACACACAACAATCATAGTATTCAAATGTATTCAGACGTATTCAGAAGTTATGAGTTCGGACCCCAAAGTGGCAGAAACAGACTCATGCCATCACAAGGAAATGATACACCTTGTAGACCCGGTGCGCGGACTTTGTGCGTCACGGATCGGCGGACGTTTGAACCACAGGAAGGTCTGCATCAGGGACTGAATCTCCAATTGCAAATGCCTGGCACAACGGAGAGATTTACTGTGCTTGAGAAAGGCTGAGAGCCAAGTTCATGATGACACAATTTTCAACCCAGCAACCGGGGAGATGATCTCATGGTGATGCAAACAAATCCCGGAAGATGACACTTTTACCATAACTTAACTGTATTATATATATATATGTATTATATATATATATATGTATACATATATATATAGCTGTATATCCATGTATCCTTCCACACCGAAAATTCCTCACCAAACCTCTGACCTTCACTCCAGTTGCTTGTATACCTGTTTGGGGGGAATGGGCCATGGGGTTAGCCAAGTGGTTAGCCTGCAGGGATTTCGTGGCCCCACATCTTCAAGTCCTTGAAATCAACGGCACATGCCGTGTGTAGGCTACCTAAGGTTGAGGTACTGCACAGGGCCAGCTTTAGGGAGATATTGCCTTGTATCATAGTTACATCTTAATATATATATATATTATATATATATACATATACACATACACAAACACATAGACACATACACATACACATACGGTACGCATATACATACACACATACATATACATTTAATTACATTTACGTGTACATACACGTATACATATTAACACAACAATATATATATAATATATATATATATCATATAATGTAAGGATACTACTTCAATATAATTTAATACCAATTTATATCCCATGCATCCGAATCCCAAGCCTGGGCCCTTCCATGTCGTCCACGTCGTCGAATCTCTCTCTTCGCAGATGTTCGAACCTCAGCTGGTGACGTGGTGGATCTGGAGACGTCACCCTGGGCTGTCGGCGAACTTGTGTCCTAAAGCAGCTCACAGGTAGATAACTAAGAGATACTAAGAGATAGCAGTTGAGTTATAGTTGAGTTATGTGCATTTATGAGATGTCTAATTCAAAAATCAATGTGATTCGAACCTTGATGCCAAATTTGGTTGAAACAAAAATTATCTAACGCATCCAAACTCTGTCTGAGGTTTGGCTCCAATATGGAACCAATCATCCATGATTCCGTGAGCAGGAGACCAAAAAAACCTATGTTTATGTCAATCTATGCATTTTTTCAATAATCTAGGGTTCGCTCTAAAAACGCAAGGGATAATAGCAGTTCAATGATCTATTCAAGAAGTGGAAAACCTTCTTTTCACATTGTTTCATCATTTCCGCGCGTAGCCACTTTTTTAGCAGTCCAGAAACTCAGGCCTTCGAAAAGATCCTCCATGAATAAATCCCAAACTTCAGTAAATCAACAGCATGTCCTAGACTTGACCCAGGAATAGCACAAACAATGATAGAAAAGATACGTATGTTTAATACATGTGTAATATATATATATATATGAATTCATTATATAATATTATATATACATATTAGGATACATCCCGAACCGTCTCAGGGTTCCACAGGCCCCTTAACAAGGGTTCATGATGGCAAGCAAGGGGTGATACTTCCCAGCCAAAATGGAGCTCTTGCAGCTCTTGGTTTCGCCAGATTCCAGGATAAGAAATGCCCCTTCGCCCAAGACACAGCTGTTCAAAGTCCTGTGGATGCCGCTGCATCGCCAGCAGAAAACGTCGCAGGGAGGTGCGATGCAGCAACTCATCTCCTAAGGATCGGTGGCAGAATTTCCCAATGTCTTCAATTTCGGTCCACTTCGAGTGATGAGTAGTGAGTATAGTCATTTTGATGCATTTTGCAAATTGTAGTGACATGTATCATGGAACCCTGCAGGTAGTGGGTCTTGAAGGGAATCACATATATATATATATTGTAATATTATATAGTGAAGTCATGTTTGAGCACTACTCATCTTGTTTCCCCTACAATTTTGGAGCTTACTATCGGTCTATGCACCGCAAGCCAGCTGTTTTTGCGTGCTTTCAAGTTGCTCTACAAAATCATCCCAGTTCTTGGGCTGCTATTTTGGCAAGATCTGCGCGATAAAGATGGGCGATCAATGCAACTGTCTCTCTATAAAACTGCACCCTCCAGCAAGTCAATTTGGACACCAGCTATGATAATCTCCAAATATGTTCAATGTCGCTGTTTTCATACTCATCACATCATCATCATCATCATCATCATCATCCAAACCATTCCAAACTCGTTTGATGCAACACAGTGGTTTCACATTATTTTTTGTTTGGGTATATTTTGACATATTTTGACTATATTATACATATATTAATATAGACATACATACAATGTAGGACTATGAGTCAAAACTCTGGTACCTGTACATGGTAAACGGATCCCGCCTTTCAAAAAAACTGCATCTTCGATTCTGATCCAACGCCCCGACAGCCCATATAGGTCCATGTAGTGTTGTTCTAATAGATGTGCTGATGTGCGTGTAATCTTTCGGAACTGGATGGAACTGGCCCTGATAATCAGTTGATGCCCAAGTGGCTAGAGGCCCTCAGGGGCCCCTTGGCGCCAGCCGCAGAGAGAGTGGACATCTTAAAGAATCGAAGAGTTTGAGAAGCCAAACGGCTGTGGGAGGCTGATTGATTGGAGGTTTCAATCCTCTATAATGTATCAATACATATATATATAGAGATACACGCAATAACAAAAACAATGAATCATTTGTTTGAACATACACTCCAGTAATCAAACAATGGCAAATCCCGTATAAATGGAGGTTTTACTGGAAAAATCATTGTAATCATTGAACTAAATGGTGGATTTGCCACCAACCATCCACCAACCCTTCGCCAGAAACTTCGCCGGGGACCACGTTTTTGCCGCCTGGGACTTCCACATGTTGATCTGCCAAACGGATGAATTCGGCGTTGGCCTCAGGTATCAGTTGTAGAGAGTATCCAAAAAACATCTTTGGAACATTGGAATGATACTAATCTAACTAATCTATATTCCAATATTATCCATATTCATATCATTTTATATCATTCTATATCGTTCCTAAATCATTCTACATCATTCTATATCATTCTAGGACGGAACATTAGTGATGTTCATGATTATCCACAATTAATCCAGCACCAACCCGTGTCATTTCGGGATTTTTTGCTACTCTCTAGTCAGATAACATTGTTATGGAAACCACGACCCATTAATAGATCATAAATCCATGTTCAGCACAGTAGCTTTCTCGGGTTAAAAAAACATGTGTTGGTCTTATATACCATCAACATCCATCAACAATCCCCATGATATCCCCATCATATTCCGATTTCACCGTGACCCCGTGAGGTCCCAACGTCCAAATCTTCCTTGGTCGCCATTGCGACGAACTCTAAGATGTTGCGCTCGCCCAAGTTAGCCTGATGGGGCCCAGGATTGTAGCTCTGAGGAATTCATCACCCAATACATGGCGAGTTTAGGCTATTCTTCAAAAGAACAATGACCGTTCCCTGATGTTTCACCATGAAAATTTGGGCCAAAACACGATGTTCAGACAAACTCAATAATATGGGGATGATTTCGGACCAGAAATGGGGGGAGTGAACCGAACTTCACCACATTTCCAATACTTAAACTAGTCATAACTTGGAAGGAAAGTGGGGTTAGAGGCTACCCCATTTCCGGATTCCACCAGGGTCACCAGTTGCCAAGGCAGGGCCTCCATGTGAGCCCATTGTCTCATGGACATCATGACCTTTGCCGCGGCCATGCCATTGCTGGCCACCAAGATCCGCTTGAGCGCCTGCGCGTTCAGAAAGGCGCTAGAGGACCATCGGATGGTGTCCAAACGAGAAAATGGGTGTGAAATAAGTGTCTGTTATGATCATAAACATATAATAGAATAATAGCTAATATTAATGATAATAGCAATAATGATAATAATAATAATGACTAATAATACTGAATAATAATAATAATAATGAATAATAATAATAATGAATAAATGAATAATAACAATACTTAATAATAAAAGTAATAAAATTAGTAATAATAATAACATTATATAATTGAAAATAATAAGAATAATTAAATACATATAGCACATAATGTGATGGACATATAATGAAGTAAAACCAACATAGAAATGGGAACACAAACTAATTCCAATTGCAATTGGGTGAACATCTACGATGTGGTTGATTTGATTGGTTTAAACTGAACCCCATTTCCAGACAAGGAAACAAGCAAGCCGGAAACATCATCCCAAGGCAGTCATTTTCAGAGCAAAAGCCTTGAAACCATCAAGCAGTTGGTGCTGATTGTCATTTTATTGCTGATTCATTCATTGTCAGGTTCATGTTGCTGAAACTGAATCAACCGTCGCCATCATCATCATCATCATCATCATCATCGTCATCATCATCATCATCATCATCATCCTCGTCAATAATTAGTCATAAGTCATCCATCATCCATCATCCATCATCAACCATCCATCATCCATCACCCATCATCAATCACCAATCATCAATCACCATCCACCATGCACCAGCCACCACCATCACCATCACCATCATCGTCGTCATCATTGTTATCATTGTGGTTGGCTGTCGTGGTGATTGCAAGAGGATTCCAACCACAACAACCATGGTGTAAGAAGTGCATGAGCACATGTCAGCACCTAGAATCAGTATATTTGCTATTACGTACATGGCAATAATGAATACATATCAAGGTCGTGTCTGGCCAAGAAATATCCCACTCAACAAGCATGAAGTGTGCCAATTTGCTTGGTAGCCCACTTCGCGGCCTTTTGGCCGCCACAAGCCTTCAAGTAGCTTTCCAGCGGATCCTGTTGACACGGGCTGAGAATTCCCAGTGGCACCGTTGATGCATACAGTACCACAGTTGCAAAAATACGCAACAATCTTCTCTGCTCAAAATCCTCAATCCTTTCATCACACATAGTCGATTTCAGTTCAAACACCTTTGGGCTTCTTTCTGGGGCTCAATAAATGGGGTTCCATAAGGTGTTTCGGCTAGCGGCTAAATCAATGTTAATTAAATAATGCCCCATATCTTTGCCGAGTATGATTGAAAAACACACCATATTTTGTCACAGTAATCCAGTGGCGTCTTGGATCTCAAAGACGCAGGGGCCTTGTCACCAGTTGCGGCTCTTCCTCGTAAGTAAAGTTGCTGGATACATCTGGGTACTCTGGGGCCAAAAATAAATATGTAGCTGGCAAAAGAATACAAACATTTGTTTTATAATGTTTGATAGCTGATTCTTATTAAACAACCAAAGTTTACCCAGAAAATATTGATATGGGGATTGTCAGACCCTGTGAGACTTTGTGATACGTCTAGGCGGATGATCCAGCTATGCCATTTATCTCTGTGTTCAGAGGGTGGGAAGACGTTCAGAAAGCACCAGCTTCAATATTCATAATTTTAAGCTATGCACGGACACAATATGGTGGGTTCATGTAAAATAATTATTCAAACATATTCAAACTCACAGGAGTTCCCATGTTTCATGTTAAGTTTAGTAGATCTACTGTCTACGTACTGGTAGTTACCTTCAAGGCTTCAAGCCAAGTCCACCAAATTCGCCATCATCTGAGCAAATGGCCAAACCACGACTGAATGGTCTCATCCCTGCGACCGAGTCATGGCTATGGCAATGGAAAACCCTCATGTGGAGATGAAATAGCTATTGAACATGTGGATAAATGATGATGAATGTGGAAAGTCCATGGTCAGATTAGATGGCAAAATCTGTCAGAATGATGATAATGACAGAAAAACATACAATTATAATTAAAGCTTCAAATGATCAAATCGTAGGGGGCTGAGAAACCACATCGGCATCTTTTAATCCCCACAACTTGGCTTCAAATCCCGAGGCAGCTATAAATCCTGAGCTCTGACAACCTGGATGTGTTCATTCTCACCGAAACATATCGAAACTATTTGGCTGGTTGGGTATCCAAACATTGGCGGCCCTATTTTGATTCAAACAGGCGGCCCTGTCCTGACGCAGAACACACGGCATATCACCATCTGTGAAATCACATTCCAATATCTTCAAGCCATGCAAATATTAGGTTCCAATAGTGCAACCCGACCAAGACATCATGATCATGGCTCAATGAATTCCTTCACCTGTGGGCACCAATGGTCTTCCCCCAAAAAAAAACTTAGATAGATTCCTCAAATGGTGGATTTACCATGATTTACCATGATTTATCATGATTTATACCATGATTTACCATATGATTTATACCATGATTGATACCATGACTTACTTATTACAATTACTAAAGGGGACAAATCAACAAATCACCTGCCACAAATCGAGGACTAACCCCAACGAGTCCACCACTGTGGCATCCCAACGAGTCGCGCGGTGGGGGGCTGGGCATGACCTGCCACGCCGTGTCGCCCTAAATGGGCCCGAAATGGCCATTTGTTCATGGGGAAAGTGATGATAATCCACTGGAAGTGGGGGCAGTGGGGTGCCCTATTTTAGACACACATATATATATATAATATATATATAATAATATATATATATATATATATCATATTTAATTGGATCTCATCTATGTTGCAAGTTTCCCCAGAAGGATCACAGTGATTGATGTGTTTGCTGGTGTTAATTCTTTAAAACTTCTCCAACTTCTCCAGGCCCTACAGAAACCGAGCCGGAGAGAATCAGAATCTAACGGTGAAAGGCTTGTCATCAGTGATTGCTTGGCAGATAAGTGGCTCCACCTAGTTCCAACAGTGACAAAAGCTCTATGAAACTTTATGAAACCCACTAAAACCATGTATAATATATATATACATCATATATATATCACCCTCAAACCACCAGGGATTTTGCTCATTGCTCCCAGGTTCCAACATGTTCCAACACTGCGCCTTTGGTCCAAAGCGACTCTCAGAGGGTCTCCAATCGAACACTGTTGGGCCGTCGTGTTGGCCAAAGTTGAGCATCTTCAATCTACTTGGTGCTTGCAAGCAACCCTCCCCCCACAAAATCTAACATGGTGAAAAAAAATGATAAAATGTGTCGCTTGAGTGTTCATCCAAAAATTGGGATGGAAAACTGAAACCCAATACGAAAAAAGCTACAGTACGCATTAGTTTTCTTGGACTTTGAAAGTAGCTCCGCTAGTTAAAATCCTTATCCTTCACCTGGTTTTTCCTTCCCAAAAGACCATTGCTAATGCAAAGACTTCCACTTTGGCAACCTCGGTGACCCACAAATCAGATTCAAGAATTGACTATTCAGGCATAAGAGTCATGGCAAATCTTCGATACCCAGCATAGACACTTTTTTGTGATCCTTGTTGCTGGGTTTTTTATTGTCCCGTTTATGGCTAGCCATCAACCGATTGACTTTCCCAACGAAGGTCTTCCTATACCTCGCTGACAACCACCCATCTGCGTTTCAGCGACTGTCCATCGCAACTCTCCCCTTCATTTGAAGGAGCTCTGCTGCCATTCCCACATCCAACGGCTACGGCGTCAATTTTTAGGATCGGCTATGGGGGGACTGTGAAGTCACTGATAATTACTAAATACTGGTAGCGTCACAACACGTCACAACTGACCAACCATATCCAAACATATCCAAACATATCCAAACATATCCAAACATATTCAAACATTCCCCAAATGTGAAATTACCATGCCATTGTTTTCAGAGTGTGTTCAAACTTAGAAGCTTGAATGAGCATGTTGAGCGCCGTTACTGTGGGTCTCCGCGATATGCACATCCTGGTGAGACTTTGGTTCCATGCAAACTAAATGGCCAGAGCAACGAAAATGGATGGTCCACTTCCTTCTATCATCTTATTTTCAGGCTTACCACTATGGAGTGTGACCACGCTGCGAGGACCGCTGTGATGGGTTTTCAGTATGACACATTCTTAAAACCGCTGTCCTGTAAATCATTAAATGACTAAGTTTGGTGGCTTCGAGATACCCTCAATGTGACACAATGCTCCCCATCTGGTCTCAGCCCAGCCACTCAGCCTCAGTTCGGAAAATGGATCGTTTGGGACTTTCAAAATCGCGGAGTTGGTGGTTTCGACCCCAGGGCATGATTGGGAACCTCATGGGTATACCATGGTATACCACATACAAATGTGGAGAAGCAGTGCCATGTGTGGATGTGGAGGAAACGGGATGCATTCAAAGAGCCAAACGAACAAAGAAATGTCAAACATGAGGGCACTGGAGAAACTGGAGGTATTTGTGCAAGGCATCTGTGTGAATGCGTCAAACTTTAGAATAATATACCACGAAACGCCAGTCCATCTGTGGTCCGATCTGGGGGCAAGTGTGGGGCAAGTTCAAAGTGCGCGTTCTCATTCCCCTTTAATGTGTTATTGACTCTTATTTGATTGTCTGTGAATTAAGTCCCCGTGTCTGACCCATACATGATCCACTATATTGGCATTTCAAATCATGTGGCCCCAACATTGGTGGTTCAAGAGAAAATATTATGGATTTGGCACTTTTTTTGTGGGTTCATGTCATGGGTAACCTATCTTCAAACATACAGTACCCCGAGTCCGAAGTTTTATGCCCTGAGATCTCATGTCTGATGCTTGAAACAGTATCCCCATAATTCCGTTGCTGGTTAAGCTCTTTTTTTGAGTGGAAACAATCCCCGTGTTTCATGCTCAAATCAATCTCTTTCCATGGTCAACCCTCCATGTGTGTAATGGTTTGCTCCGTCTCTTTGTTCTG